TTGTGACATTTACTCCACTATCAAATTTTGCTCACGCAAAAAACATTCTGCACCATTCATTAGTAGATGGGGCATGACTTGCAGACAAATAGCACTATCAAATTTCTTTCAAAGGAGACCACCTAAAATGGGATTTAACCACTTTCAAAAATAAGGATGGGGGAAGTAGTTCAGTTAGATGCTTGCACTCTACCAGGTGTTAGGAATAGTTTGTTAGGTTCTCAGTGAGGCTTTTTAGTATCTCCATGAAAGCTTACCCTTACTGGACTGTAATACAAGACACTCAAAAAAATCACACACTCTCCACAGACACCTGTTACGTATTTGGCATCTAATCTCTTTGAACAGAACAATCTCTTTGACAGCCAAAGCCAAGCAGGCATCCCATGAAAGCAAATGTCTATGAATCTGCCTATACATTACATCACTGTCAATTTATTTAATCCCCTCAGTAAGACAAATGTTTCCAACCACTAAATAACTAACAGCAAATGCATAATAATAAATCAAGGTACACAAACATAATTTTGCTTAATCCATGGTGTGCGGTACTGTACTTTATTACGTTAAAGTCTCACTAGCCAGAGAAAATCTGGAATGTTCAATGATAAAACTGTCTGTGCAAAGAAACTGCAACTAGAGCATAAGGATTTCTATTAATCATCTGCAAATTTTATTTGGAACTTGATCCTGCAGCACTTATTCACAAGATCAGACCTATTGAGTTTATTCACATGAGCTTCGGCTGCAAGATTGGACCTTAAGTACTGTCAGGTGCACGTGCAGCCTATCATCAGATTTTGGCTTATTCATGCTAGAAGCTACCCTTTCAAATGCAGACTACTTAATGTTTCCTTCTTCATTAACTTACATGTCCTCTTCTGCTGCTCTATGCTTTCATTTGTGCTATGTAAATAGCTTCTCTCTCTCAGTCATCGAAACAAATAATGCTCTTTGCAACCAAGGAGGAAATTAGTAGCAGGTGAAGGCTTATTTTTTAAATTATGTTGAGACCAAGCTGTTCTTTAACTTAAAGGAGATCTGGGGCGGAAAAAAGATCCTATTTTACTACTTAGCTATCTTAATTATGGGTTGTCATTGTCATAATTCTATATACTTATCCCCCCCAAATATTAAACTTGGTTTATGTACTTTATGATGAGCTGGACCTAACACTGTGCACACACTGTTAAACAGTTTATTTAGTGGGATAAGACTTCTCTGATGACATAAAATTAACTGTACCTTATCATACATGAAACATATATGGAGTATCTGACTTAAGCATTCTATTTCTTTACCTGACATATCTGTTCTACATAAATACAAGGTGTTGTGCTGTGGTGTGTTAACTGTAAAAAACAACCACCACTCATCTGCTACCTGCTTACAGACTGCAGCAGGTCAGATAGGCTGCAATTACAAGAGATGACATGAACTAGTCCTTGAACAGGACCACAGCAGAGACATTAATGTCATGCCCCACATTATCATCTACATGTTTACAGATCCTCTTTGAATTTTTCAAGACTTGCGTAGGTGGGCAAACTGTCAGCACAGGTAAAAGACTCTTCATTAGTGATGGCACTCACAACAATATTAATGATAATGTTAAATGGCCTCCACATAATCAACACATTATACTACCTGTAAGCTCTAAGAGATCTGCAGAGGGACAAACAAGATCTGTCCTGTGATGACAGAGATATTCCGGGTACTATACAACTATGGAAGAAGAAAGTCAACATAACCTTTTTCATACAAAATTTCATTATCAACACAACCTACATGACTGGCAAAATGAAACTCCCAGCAACAGATATTAGCAGTGTTTTCCTCATAATTCCAGTTAATTTCAATGTAATGATGAAGCAGGGGCTGAAGGTGACTGCTGGCAATTTCAGTAGTTATAATACCAACTGAAAGTGCAGTACAAATCATAACCACGCACTACTTAAAAATGCTATGAGACAGACATCACATGAGTCTAATCTGGAGTTTAACCTTGAATCCAAATTTCTGTAACTCAAAGCCAGAAAAAAAAATAAAATTAAAAATTCAGCCTTGAACAGAAATGGTATGTCTGCAACAAATGAACTGTTGTCACAAAATTGTTCTCAATCATACTTCAAACTTGCCACATGGATTAATCGGCAGTTTGAAGCAGCTGCTACACCATGTTCTATGCACTTCTGTTGCCATTTTAATTTTTAAAAAGCAAATGGAGAGGCTCTCCACAAAATTCAATGCTGCAATAGCAATGACTGAACCAGAATCACAAAATTATGAACAGTTCACTAAATTGTCTATTAGCAGCACATATCAAGAGGCTGCAGAACAAATTGTGTGCCTGAAATAACCAATCAATGAATGAAGAATAAAGAGATGTAAGGAATGGAGATGTTGACGATCCATTGTAATTTTTGATGAATCAATTTCCATACAGCCAGAAAAATGGTAGAATATCACAGATAGTGTCTTCATGACTCTTAACAGGAAAAAATCATGCATAATCAAATGGAAATTTATTAATGTACCAAGAAAGAAAGAATGATGCTGGTAACATAAGGCCAGGTAGCACACACATTTCTTAAAACCAGTAAAACACAGTAAAAGCAGTACAAAACATACAGTAAAAAAAATTCAATATAAAAGTTGCCTTGGGCAGGACGTGTATATCCCTTAGAAATTAGAAATCCAGCATGCAACAAATGAAGTAACAATGGAAACACTGAATACATAAACACTTTTGTCCAGTGATCCAAATCTAGCTACTTTATCATCTAACTGTATGTCCAGCAACATAATGTTGAGCCACAAAAATATATTAAAGAACTCCTAAAGCCAAAGGATAATGTTTCAAAGCAAACTCCTATGGACAGATTTTGCTACATCACCTTACAAACTGTATGAGCTGCTGCGTCCTAAGCTATCAAAGTTTGCTAAACACCTCTTTACCCAAGACTGTGAAATGGTTAATCAAAGGGTAATATACCACTTTTGGAGTATTCAACCTCTGCATTAGTGACCCACTATCAATGGCACAAAAGAAGGTTTTAGTTATGTGAATAAATGCCAAGGGTCAAAGAATCCCCTGCATTCTCATATAACTGTATGAACACTGATAGTGTCAAAACTAGACAATGGAGCATTTATAAATTTGTGGCTTGTTAGTAGAACTGTGTAGTACCCAGCACCTAGCCAACAACAGACTGATACACAGAAGAGTTTCTTTTCTCTCTAAAAGCACAAACCAAATAGACAACTTGGAACAATTCTCTCTGTCTGAAATGAAACAGAGGGGCTGAGCAAGCACAGAGCACCAGATCACCAGAGGGCTGAAGCACATCTCCTCTGAAGACCAGCTGAGTTGAGGTTGTTCAGCCTGGAGAAATGAAGGCACCAGGGAGACCTTAGAGCACCTTCCAGTGCCCAAAGTGGCTACAAGAGAGCTGGAGAGGGACTTCTGACAAGAACATGGAGCAATAGGACAAGGGACAGTAGCTTTAAACGCAAAGAGAGTAGGTTTAGATTAGACGGTAGGAAGAAATTCTTGACTGTGAGGGTGGTGAGGCACTTAAATAGTTTGCCCAGAAATGCTATGGATGTCCCACCTCTGAAAGTGTTCAACATCAGGTTGGACGGGGCTTTGAGCAACCTAGTCTAGTGGAAACTGTCCCTGCCCATGGCAGGCGGTTGGAACTAGATGATCTTTAGGTCCCTTCCCACCCAAACCATTCTAGGATTCTATAAGAAAGTTATTTTTCTTTCCAAGGCACCATTAGGCCTTCCCTGGAGATAGTTAAACATCTGCCTGTTGATGGAAAAATATGAATTAATTTCTTATTTTGTTTTGTTTGTGTGCACAGCTTTTGCTTTACCTATTAAGCTGAACCTCAGCCCAAATTTTTTCACTTTTATCCATCTGATTCTCTCCCCAGCGCTAAAATGGGGAGTGAGCAGGCAGCTGTAGGGGCTGAACTGCCCATGGGTATTAGTTAAACTATGACAAGAAAATTTAAAAGACAAAATGTCTAAACCTGCATAATCAAACGTATCTCTGAGTAGTCTGAATTACTGTATCAAAAAAACAAGTGGGAAATAAATGTGTTTAAACCTTACTAAAACAGTATCATTAATGCAAGTAGACAAGCCTGAGGCAAAGACATTTCTTGAATGACATGCCATGATTATTCCAGCAGAAAGCACTGGGCAACATTATGTAGTCTCTAAGAAAAAGATCCTAGTTTGTGAACAGAACGGTGCATGTCCTTTCTCGAAAAGCCACTGACATAAGCAGCATTACTACCTCGAGGTCAGAGAGCTGAGGCTGTTATTTCTGGGGTGGGGGGAGGTCATGACAGTGCAGGGAAGACCTCAGCACACAGTTCTGCACTCACTGAGATTAGCTGCTTGTCTTAACAAGTCAACACTCTGATTCCTGAAGCAGTACAAAAAGCATGGCATTGAAACTGAAGCAAATTTCACACGGAAAAGGAACTATGATTAGTCGCTTTTATACCTACAAAAAGCCTAGGAAATACCAGTAGCATCGAAGTACACCAACAAATACTTAATCAGTTAACCATCAGATCTCTACTTAATCTATCTAGTGGCTCCTGGTATCTCCTGGTAACATGAGAAAATCAGCCAAAGCATTTATCTTCAGTTAGAAAGTAAAATGCCACAGTACTGTACCCCATGCTTCACCCTAAAATGACAGAAAATACTGCACTGTATTCTCTGATTTGTGTAATCTAGATGATATTTTATTTTTAATATACACTAAAGTATAAGAGTAATCTAAATCGTCTCTTAATTTATATAGCAAACAATGGAAATTAGAGCAATAACATGCAACAAAGCCTGACATACTTTCTGTTAAATGACTGAAGCCTCACTAAATCTTTATCAACATATGCAAAAGTATCAGTTCTAGAGGGAAACAGAATTGAACCCACAACACATCAATACATATAGATAAAGGCAATTTATATTACCTCTCCAAGAGCTTCATAGCGCTTTTGGTTCCACCTGTGCAAATCTTCACGGTAATTAAACACAAACGGTTCCCCAGTTTTTATGTGTCTTAATTGTCCTTCTATAAAAGAAACAGTATCATTACATTTAACACACTTCTTCATTAAAAGTAAGAGACCATTTAATTGCTGAAAAATTTAAAAGAAGTCTACAACTGAAAACTGGGTTATTATGAATTCCCTCGCATTTGGTTACAGGATTTTTGAAGGAGAACAATGGCATATATTGCTAGACAAAGCTAAACAGAAATCACATGGTGAAATTACAAGCAGATATCAAATGCCAAACTGCTTTGCAAGAAACATTTATGTCTCAACTGCTATAGACTACCAGCGAAATGTAAACATTAGGAGTTAATATTTGATCTGAAGTATTAATCAGCGGATCAAATTGTAGCTACAAATCACCTACTTCAAAACCACCTGCATTATAAAGAAATATGAGTACAAAATGGGCTGGAAGCTGGATTTAAAGAAAACGTTTCTTTTCAAGCTTAACAAATTTGTAAATTAATCTGAAAAAACACATCTACAATTAGTCTAAGTATCTTAGCTCCTAGGCACAGTGAAATCAAGTAAGAGCTCTTAGATTTGGGGTACACTAAGATTACAACAGTAGAATAAAGCAGAATGCTTGATCAGAGCAAAACCTCATGCTATTCTTATATACCAATGTAACTTTCTGTAGTTGGCCTTGTTTATAGTCAAAGTTGATAGCACACACAACCACTGATGAAGCATGGACTGTGTTAAAACAATAGTAATAAAATGGCAACCAATAGGAAGCCAGCTGTGGAAAACAGCTTACAAGTAATGTTTCAGTTTATCAGGTAAAACACAGGTTATGATCTCAGAGCATCATAAAATTGCACTAAATCAGAGAAACACTAAAAACAAACAGGGATATGGACAAGTTAACTCCTTTGAACACTGAAATCTGTGCATGATGAAACTAAAGCTTCTCAGCAATGTTTCCTCTTGAATAGAAAAAAAATGTTCATGCCTTTTCAGAACCTTTACACTTTGATTCTTGATTCTTTATATAAAAGATTTAAGATCTGACACCTGCAATAGTTATGCTTATCTGCTGATTTGACTTTTTTTTCCAGACCTGCCTAACCTCATGTACTCGACACCAGGGAAATATTTCTCCACAGCTTCCTATCACTGTGTCAGGTCCAAATATCCTTCTTCTCATATTTTCAGCATAACTCAGCCTTCCACTGTTCCTTCTCAGGTAGTTTCTCCTCAAATATGCTATTCAGTAGCACATGAATTGGTACTCTGCACAAGTAAAGAGGAACGGATATCTGGTATATTTTTGATTTGGCTTTCCAAAATCGTTGTATTCTGCATATTTAAATAATCTGGTAAAAATATTCTGTACTTTTCCATCACAAAAAGAAGCACGATTATGACATAAGAGTACATGACTGAACATTTGAATTAAATGTACAAAAGCAAGATGGAGACCTTCTTGCTTTGCTGACCCATAGCATATGTAATAGGCTTTCCTTCATTCTATGGAAATCACTCAGGCTGTAAGGTGAGTGATGGAATATTCAGTAATATAATTCTAAAACATCATTCCCCAAAAATTCAAATTCCAGCCCTTTTTATCAGCCACATATGAACCATTAACTCTGAAGTCAGTAAGGAAGACAGTAGAACTGTGCACATCTAAAAATAAGGAGCTGAAAAGTAAAAATAAGGAGCTGAAAAGTGACAGAGCTGAACCCCTTCCATCAAAGAAAGAGCATCACTTGCATGACACTTTTAGTCTCTAAGCACCTTCCTGTGAAAGCCATCAGGGTATTAAAAAGCTAAGTGTTGCATAAATGACTATCATTTAAAGGAAAGCACTTTTTTTCTTTAAAAGTGGAAGATGTAAGACAGGCAGATTTAGAAACTAAAGTTCCTCTGTTCACAGAACAGGCACTGCAAAGAAGTAGAATTGTAAACATCCCCATTTGTCCTACAGGTTTCAAACAATCTTGAAAGAGCCATTTCCTGGAGTCTGGTATTACTTTAGCTCAGAAGCTTATTTCTCACCTGGATTTTAAAATGCATGCACTAAAAATTATAAATACTACTAACTCATCTAACACACAGATTCAGCTAGCTGGAAGTACTTGCAGTCATCACACACTTAGCTGCAGTGCAAAATTGTGATGCACACCAGAACAGATAGTCCATCACACTCCTCATCCTTCCATCAATATAAAATACAAATACCTGGGACAAATTATTACCTAATTATCTAAATAACTTCTGCTGTATCCATAAAAATGAATCAGTACGCAAAACTTTTCTGAAACAAGTGACAATTCATTTATTTTGCTTTTTAAATGCTGATGCTACAGAAATTACTTACAGATTGTTTGTATTATACTTCTGCACCAGAAAACAGAAAGTCAAAGCAGGCACAGGACAAATCTACAGATTTGCATATAATGAGGGATTTTTGTGATAATTTTATGAAATACAAAACAGTACTTGACTAGATTTATAAGTCTGTTAACACTAAGGCTTAAAATATTTTTAACAGAAAAGTGTGAAATTCTAAGAGGGATTTACAGGTATAATTCAAATTCTGATAACCTCAACATTATTCTAAGTATAGTCTTTACAAAGCATATATGACTTACTTTCATTAAAAAAGTACTCAAATCCTTCCAGAGTATCAGGAAATTCAAGTGGTGGCTCATCTTTTTTCATTAACTCATCCAAGTCTATTCTAGACAATAAATCTAAAAAAAGGAAAAGAAAAATTACATAATGCATGCTATGTCTTCCTTATTTCACTCTTAACACTGACACAATGTGTTTGTTCAGATTTCTAGATCTTAAGAACAGAATGATATAACAGTATTACTAAACATAGGACACTCTTACAGGAAATCCTGTTCCAGACTCAAAAGCTGGACCTCATTCGCAGTGTATGTGCTTATTTATTTACCTACCTATCCACCTCTAATGTTGATCCAAAAATATCCAGAGACAGAGAAGTCACCAAAGATATAGTGATTTGTTTCAATGATTCATTACCCTCAATATCAGAACTAAGTCTCTGGCATGCATTATGGTTTTAACATGCATTTACTTAGCTTTATATCAAAACATTGATACAACTTTGTTTTGCCTTTTTGAGCAGTTCAGATTATCTCATGCACATCATCTCACAAGCATTTACCAGCTGTGTGACCATACCAGTCCTAAGCCCTTCTTTTGATACCCAAATAGACTGTTATATCTGAATCATTCTCTTAACCACCCTCCTTGAATAGTTCTCAAGGCAGAGAAAACTCATATCTGTTTTATAGCAAGGATTTAAGGATTTACATTTAATCAGAGGCAAGCACATGGGAACATCTTTTGTTTATGTGGAACTACCAAACAATTACTGCATACACAGATAATAGTGTAGTCACCTCATCTCTCCTCATTGCTTACCACCCATGCAACCTGGTGTTATCCTTGTAACATACTTTCTGATTATAAAAAAAATAAATACCAAGAAACAATTCAGCAG